TATGCAAGTACTAAATTATTTTAGCTCAGTCTTCGATTATTAGTGTGTTTATTGTATTACACATGTATTGCTTAAGTTTGAAGCCCCTTTTTTCATGTGTTTCTGCAGAAAGAACTGGAGCCTTCAATTGGTCGTATTAGCCAATATGTGGAGAATCTCAAGTCTTTAAGTGGAGGGTAATGTTTGACACTAGTTGTTTAGCTCCCATTCTTGCTTGTATATCCCTACAATTTTCTCCATGAGGATCAAAGGGAATTGGATTCTGATTGTGTAGTAATTCTGACACAGGTCTAAGGTAACATCACATGGTGATGATGAAGATTCAAATCCCAGAAGAAATTTGGAGGAGGAATACCTGGATTATGAGGCCAAGGTTTGATGATTTTCTCAGTGTTGACTTTAAATTATTTGAAATTTGGGAATTGTTGGGATTGTAGGAACATAAATATTTTTCCTAGATGGGAGACTTTATCTGATGAGACTTTTTCCCTCTATTTGCAGATAGTGACCACCTTCAGTGTAGTGGACAACATGAAAGAGCACATGTATTCCAAAGAAAGAAAATTTTCAAGGTTATATTTTCTTATTTTCCTTAATTCTGCGCTGTAAATAATTGTCACACGGCCAAGGGTATATATTTTTTTTTTGGTAAAACTTGTCAGACTTTCTTGAGCATAAATATATATGGATTGTTATCAAAAAATCTTACACCTGAAGAATCTGGAAAATCTAACAATTTTCAGACTATGGGAGTATGTATTGATTATGAATGTGTATATTTCAATATTCTCAAGTGGGAGTTTTTTATTCTATTTCATTCAGGAAAGATGATTCAAAAGTCAAGGAGCTTTTTGATGACATTGAGAAGTTGAGAAGGGAATTCGACTCAATTGAAAGGCCGGTTCTGCAGATGGAATCCCCAAGCAGGGAGCCAGAGACTCCAACTAGTGAGAAACCCCAGGAAATTATTTCTCAATCATCTATAGAACCAGCAAAAGGTTTGGAAAGTGAGAAGAAGCAAACTGAGCCTTCAAAAGCAGGAAAAGAGCAGGTGGATGACCATGAAGCAGAGTTGGCGAAATTGGAGTCTGAATTTGGGAAGGTCGGTATAGATTACACATCCGAAGAGATTGGTGGCTGGGAATTTGATGAGCTTGAGAAAGAATTGACAAATAGCGAGACAGGAAAAAGGTAGATAGATCGATAGTTACCACTCTGTAAAAATCATGTTATATGTGTGCAATAAACCAGACCGGCTGTGCCATTTTTCTGCTACTTTTTTTACTGACCATGTCATCTCCCTAACAAGCATTGTTTTTAGCTGAAAGGGAAATTACTGTCACTTGTAACCTCTGTGCTTGCTCCCTTGTAAAGTCTTAGGCACTGTCTTAACTCTTGATTGTATTAGCATTTGATAATCTTTTTTTTCTGTATCTTACTGTCCCATCCTTGTACAAATCATCGTGAAGTATCGTTTTGTGCTACATGCGGATTTGTCGACCATAAAGCTTGCTTTTATTAACTTGTTTTCTGGAGCTTTCCAACTACCAAAATTAGCATTGGTTTCATGGTGGTAGGGAAGAAAATGGTGGGGGTTCGAGATTTCTTTGTTACTCCATTTGTGAATTGCTCGATACTGTTCCCGGTATCGGAGTAGGAACTTGTTACACCTTTTGAATGACAGTATCATTGCACAAGAGGGCTCATCTGCTTAGTGGTTTTGTAGCCCCATTGACTCCCAAGTTTCTTCTTCTAAAGATCCTTTTTGGTGGGCAAAAATAAAAGATAAGAAAAAGAGATGCACCATGTTTCTTGCGTAGAACTGTTAAACTTCCCACTAATATTGAATCGAACTAAATAAAGCCTTGGCCTTTCCTGATATTGTGGGGATGGTGGGTCATTTACCTTCTTCTATTACGGCTTTCTTTATTTGTTTTACTGTTACTGTAATACTGTAACCACCATAATCACAGCTTTATTTCATATTATAGAGTAGACAATGTGATCTTAATTTAGGGAAATGCTTTGAGCTATAACTTTGCACTTTTTATATTGGTTTTAAAGTCTTTTAAGGGATTACAATAATAATAAAAAAAATGTTTTTTTAATGTATTACTAGTCTATGATTTTCTTACAAATTTATCTCACTTGGTGTTGACGTGTTGTAAATGCATAATTATTACTTATGGTTTCCTATTAGTTTTGTATAGTTAATCCTAATATTGAGTACATGGCATTAGTAATAGTTTAACAAAAGGATTTATAGAATTCCTCTACCTAATTTGTGCATAGGTCATATTTTTGCACGTGCAAGAGAAATTATTTTATTGAATACTTGTCTTAATTTTTCCTTTAAATACGCAAACTTATGATTTCTGATCATATAAAAATTTTAAAAATTGAGTATGACATAAGGGTCGTTCGGGCTAATTTACGAAAAGATTGCATAAATTTAATAAAGGGTCGCTTGGATTTATTCAATTCAACCACAAAAAATATTCTTACTCGTTACGACACGTGTCTGTTATAAGTCTGACATAACATGAAACTATGAGAGACACAACAATGGATCATGGGTTGTATACACATCATTTTCAAATTTGGCACGATCTTAACATGAACCTAATGGTCAGTTTGCTCCTTTTTAATCTATTAATAAAATATGTATAGAGTATAAATTACTAAGTGATCTCAATAACACAACACGTCCACTGCATATCAGCTTCATCTATGCAAGATCAGTATGTCTCAACTTTTTCTTAGCATGTTTCAAGTATGCTCGTTCGAGTACAAGTCCCGCTAACACAACATGTGAACCTTTATGAGAGTGAGGGATAGCTCAAGTGGTTAGAGCTCCCCTCCCGATTTCAAGAGATCTTGGATCGATTCTCATTTTCCGCCCTTGTGGCTCACTAAACACCAAAAAAAAACATGTGAACCTTTATTGCCAAATATGTACATAATAAGATGTGAATCAAATAAATTCCGGGATTTCAAGCAGTATCATCACTCCTTGGTTAATCTTAGCTTATCAAAATAAAATTCCCTCGGGTTATGTCATCTCCAACTGTTTTGTATTGGGAAAGATTGTGATCTAATTGATCCCAAAATACAAGAGTAAATCTTGTACTAAATAAATATGGAGTGCAAAAATTAGGTAGAAAATAATAATTAACTAAATATTTTAGATGGTGATGTATTAACAAGACACAACAACATAAACCAAAAATGATAATAAAAAGAAAATGTCCCTTCAAAATGTCAAATAGCTACACAAGATCCTTTTTGTTAAACAAAAGAACAAAAGTATTACCGGAAAAAAGGGAGAGAAAAGAACCCTGAGAAAGAGGACTCCAAATAAGAAAGTTCTCGAGCTTTGCATTGAATTTAATCTTCCTAAACTCTCCACCATTATATGTTGGATTTTTAATCTTCATCTTTTGAGGTTTTAACTGTTTTAAAAGTCAACAGCTAGAGTGATTGTTGTCACCATTGATGAACTTGTGTAAAATCGAGCCAATCATTAGTTATACTGAAATGTCAATCAGTTTAGTTGGTACGTAGTAAAACATTTAATTATGCAAGGATGATATGATACTCACCATGACACTATGTGATGAACTTGTGTAATATCGAGTCAATCATTAGGTATCCGGGAATGTCAATCAATTTAGTTGATAGTTGTCATGGAGTAAAGCATTTAATGATGTATTATTATAGACTTTATTTGGAAATTAAAGTTGTGGAAAAAAAAATTACTAATTAGAGTTTAAACTTTTATGAAAAAAATTCGGTATTTGTTGTTTGATCCCACCTTCTTGTCCAAAATAATAATAAAAAAAAAAAAATACCGAGTAAAAAATTACCCACCTACAAAGGCTGCAATAGGTGGATAGCAATTTCAAAAGACGATCTAACACTTAGTATTAAATTAATCAAACACAGTAAAAATGATACTCTATGAAAAAGCCTAGATGTGCATATTTTATACTCTTAAAAAACATTAAAGGAGTAAAAAGAAGACAAGAAACACTCCATGATTCCAGTAAAATTTGTAGTAAAAAATAAAAACCTATAGCCTTAGCATATTATTATAATCTAAATTTGGTTTTATTAGGCCATTGAAGTTCAAATTTTGAGTCAATAGACTATAGTAGCAATCTTGCTAAAAAAACATAGAAAGATTATGATATAATTAATACGATAATCTCAGTCACATTGCTCCAAGAGAATCATGCTTTTTTCTTCCTTTTAATTTTTTACCCCCAAGAAAGAAAAAGGTGTTGAGTACTTAATTTTTAATTAAGATGCTTTGTCAGCCAAAACATATACATTAAGCATGTATTTCTTTCTTTATTAACTCTCCTTTTTATCATCTTTTTTCCTTTAATTCTCCTTCTTTCTTCTTGCATTTTTTAAGATTGTGCTTAGGAACATTCTCATCTTTTGAGTAACTTCTGATAAGGCCTTTGTCAGCCACCATATGAGCAAGGGGAAATGCAGAAAACCGATGACTTTATCGATTCGTCGAGCCCCTGATTAGGAAAATCAAGTGACATTAGTTTAATTTGAATAATGATGAAATTTTATTCATATTATATGGTATGAATAAAGAACCCAATTAAAGAAAAAGTAACATCATAAGTAGCAATTAAGATAATTAAGTACTTTATTTTAAGTGATCATTCACCTTCTAAAACAAGTCATGATTTTCTTCTAAGTGAAGCAGGACCCACAGCTGATAAAAATATGTTCTGTAACAAGGGAAAATTATGTCTTTAATTGTATTACTCGGACTTTTCATTTTACTTCAAGCACCTATGTTAGATTTTCAACCCAAAACATAGGTAGGGCACTTTGAAACGTCATTTTTGGGCCAAAATTATGAATAATAGTTACAAAATAGTCGAGTCAGACACTTGGACACATACTGTACAAAGTCCGAGCAACATAGGTTTTACAGTATACCACTAAAAACTGTAGACAGATAAGTCAGAAACTGGGCCATCATCAGTTTATCACACATTAGAAAAGTTTCTTCTGCATGATGCTCTGAATTTTATATGTGGAGTTTTTCAGAGTTTTCACAATACTTCTGAGTTCTGACACTTATAAAATAGATCAAAAAAGAGGGTAAAAAACACACCCTTTTCTTTTCATCATTTTGGCATCATCCTCTACTTTTTTTTAAACAAGAAATAAGCATTCTATATATCCTTTTCCCCTCATTCTTCAGTCTTTCACAGTTTTACCACTTCACATAGGAAAACTAAGAGATAATGGCTGTGGACTACTACTCATACAATCATACTGAACATAAAGTTGAAGTCGAGGAAGAAGAAGATGAAGAAGACTACATAGATATGGAAGTGAGCGCGTTTGCTCACTTCTTTTCGCTCTCAAAGAATGCTAAAATGTCTTCACCACAGCATCCTAGAGAATTCGAGTTCCAAATGTCGTCGACAGTGAATGTAGAGAGGGAATCCACCACATCCCCTGCTGATGAGCTCTTCTACATGGGGAAGTTACTCCCTCTACACCTTCCGCCTCGATTACAGATGGTTGAAAAACTTCTTCAAGACTCAACACCAAAGAATTTTAATGAGTTTTACAGCACTCCTTTGGGTACAAATGCTGCAACTACGCCATTAACAAGCACTACTCCTTTCGAGTCCTGCAATATATCTCCGGTTGAATCTTGTCAGGTTAGCAGAGAGCTTAATCCTGAAGAGTATTTCAGTGTTTATGCAAATGGAGAAGATTTTCATAAAAGTTTTATTGGTGATAATAATGTAAAGAAGTCTTGGACTAGAAAGCTGAAGACTAAGATTAAGTCATTGTTTGGAAAATCAGATGAGTTATCTGTTTCTTCCTCAGTAGCCAAAAACAAACAGGAGGGCTCCATTTCGAGGTCAAAGGAGGATCATATAGAGAAACAAATGAAGGGAAGTAAGAAAATTTCATGCAAACAAATCGATCAAGCTGTTTCTCAGGATAGATTTGACAGACAAAATGATGCTAAAGAAGGTAAAATTTGTCACAGGAGATCATTCTCTGGTGCATTTAAGCGACGTTCATCAACAGCAACAAAGTTATCTTCCTCATCTTCACCAGGGTCTTCTTCCTCTTCTTCGTCTTCCTCATCTTCATCAGGTGTTTCGACAAGTAATTCAAATGGGTTGAAGGATTTTCCACTTCTTAAGAGAAGCAGCAGCGCGAAATCAGAGATTGAGACCTCATTGATCCAAGGAGCCATTGCTCATTGCAAGCAGTCATCTCAGCAAGCACTACAATCTCGAAAAACATTGAGTGAAGCCGGTTGTCATTCGTTCCCTTCTTCGAGGTTTGCTGTTCTTGATGATCAAACAAGCATATGCAGGGGCTAAGATAGAAGGGAAAAAAAATTCTAGGAAAAAGGGGTAGTGGGTGTTTAAAACTTACTTTAAAGATAATCAAGTGAATTATGTTAAGATACTTGTATGCTAATCTAATATGGTTTTGGCTCATTGCATAATTAGCAAACTGAGTGTTTAATTTACCTTTGATTTGTGATTTTTTTTTTTTCCTCTTGTTTTATTCTTCTGTCCTCTCTTTAATAGTCAACCAAATATTCATGATTTTCAGTGTACTTGACACAAATTAATTGTTCAGAGATTGCCAACATACATCATCATTTTTGGGTTGAAATAAATTTTAAGTACAGGGTCTGATTTTTAATTATTTCACTGTCTTGGAGTTTCAAGGAAATAGAAGTTTAAAACCAGAGTGATTGAATTAGATTGAATGAGCATATGGTCAACAAGATTCTTGTACTCCTTACAGTTTACTTGACTCTGCAATATCCTTTTGTTGTTTCACATTTGGACTCGCGTCGATCTTCTTGCTGCCTACATACCGGCCTTTTGCACAAGTAATCCTAACCTTAGCACAAGGCATACATTCGAGTCTGTGCATTTATACACTTATATTCGCACACTTTAAGTCCGAGACATGCACGGTGCTGGCCTGCGTGCTGCTGGGCTTATCATGCCTCATTCCGAAGTCAGGTAGTGAATAACACAATAAATTAGAGGTGGTGCTGGTGGTATACTAACAGCTACTAGGCAAGAGCTAGACACTATGTTACTTGTGTGAAACTCCTGTTCTAGTTTCATCAAACCATGCCAATAAAGATGGTGGGTCATTTGCCTCATTCCATTAGTCACTTTTGGTTATTTTTACTGCTACTGTGAAACTGTAGTACCATAATCTCAGCTATGTTTGAATGAAAGTAGATTTTCCATGAATCATGGATTTGCATTCTCTTAAAGTTGGGAAATCAACTGTCCAGTTATAAGCGAGCCAGGGTCATACTCGTACACGCCCTCTACATTAGCGCTCAGTGTACACAAGTCTATACACAATCATGCTATGGGTTTCCTTTATACCTTGTATCCACAACTTCTTGCCTTTTGAGGATATCAACTCAGAGGGATTCAAACATGAAGAGCTAAGTGTGAAAAGTACTTGTGAAAGGAAAATGATAATTATTCTCTACAGAGATACGACACTAACTACATGTGATATAAACAAATATATTCAGGTTACATCAACAACAATGCGTGATCATGATTAAAATTCACCTAAGGTTTAAGTTGATACAACAGAGAGAAACATAAAAGATCAAAGATCCAGCACCGTAAAGAATGGCAGACCACCATTCTTGCATAATTAACAGAAGAATATTTACCAGTGTCAAGATGGGGTAGACAGCACACCTAGCTGACCACTCTTGTAAGTTGCAACTACACCCGCTCTTCTAACTCGATACTGCAGTCCATCATTAACAGAGCACAGAGACAATAAAACACGATTGATCACCATATTTTACAGTTATTATTAATATAAATACAAGTCACAATCCTCCCACAAATTGCCTGATAGTAAGACAGGTTTCTGGCCTTCATAACTATTGCAACAGGGGGTATTCCTCATTGTACGAACAGAAAAACTGAAAAAGGGTTAGAGGGCATAAAATCGATCTGGTTCTGAATTGGAAAACTCAGAGTGATACAATGAATTAGACCCGCTTCTCTTTGCACTTCTATCTTTTTTCTTCAAGGACCGAGACCGCTTGGATATTACCACATAATAGGTCATTGTGCCCAAAACCCCAGCCATTATCACACCCCCAACAACCGTAACAAGTGTTGCAGCCCACTCATGCTTTCGTCCAACAACTATGTAAGACGATGCCATGAATGCAACAGAAGTGCAAACTGATGCCAACCACATCAGCTTGTTGATAACTTCCACAACTCGTCTCTCTGCTTTTGTCTCACCTCTGACAAGAGTGATCTGAACTACCACAACTGCCAAAGAGGTAAAAAGTGCAATCGCATTGAAGATAAAGAATATCTTGAAAGAAGCTGTTCTAGCAGCTACAGCCATCCCATCATCATTATCACCACCTGGAACAGTGAAAATTGCTGCAAAAGCAACAGTCGCAAAAAGCACAGCTACTACAGTTACCGAGTTAGTGGCATTGTTTATCCCTTCCCTGTGAAGTTTTCTGAGCTCCTTGGCAATTCCACTAACATTTTTGTTGGTCTGCCTTGTTTGTTCGAGCTGCCGATGCACATCTTTCTTAATCTGGCTCACAGTTTTTCTTAACTCATCCCTAGGTTGATTCAGTTCATTAGCCCTAAGAGCACCATTCCTAACAAGGTAATCTTTGATTTCTGAGGATTCTTCAGAGAGGGGAAGTCCTTCCGCAATGTCAAGTGCAGTTTTGTGATCACTGTTTAAAGAATTAACATTGATGTCTTGAAGCTGTAACAACTCATTTACAATCTGCAGAAGATCAACAGAAAGGTTCAGCTCAGAAACTGCGATATCTAACAGAATAATGGCATACAAAAATAATTTAAGCAAATATATATGCCCTGCGACATCCCCCCACCCCCCCCCCCCCAGTCCATGTCATCCATATACATGATAGAGACTTGACCATTTGGTTTTTACAAGATGTGAGCACATGATCCAAGATTTAACGATAGAGACTTAATTGTTGAAGATGTCATATTTCATGTCATCATTTACCAAATAAATAATAATCAAGAAAAAATGTAAAAAAGGAAAAGATGAGGTGGGATTCAATCATGGATTTTATGTATGAGATAATAAATATTTTTTGCTCAAACAATAACACAGTCTGGGGCATTGCCTGGGCCCAATAACTAGCTTGATTTTAAAGAGCATGCAAAACTGGCGAGGATTTTATACTGTGTAATCATTATTCTGGAGTCTGGAAACAAATGGACAAAAAATTATAACAATGATTCTCTACAAGTTCAACGGTACAAGAGGCAACAAAAGCTGCAACTGACAGCTAATAGATTAAACAAGCCACCACGGCTGTGGATAAGATGTATAAGGGTTTAAGATAAGTAGAAAATTTCGAAGGATAATAATGACACAAGTAAAAAAACAGAAAAATATCCAGCTAAATACTTCATAATATAAAATGAGAGTATGTGCATTAAAAAAAAAACTCAAATACTATTACTGATAGTTTCAGGCTTTTACAAATACTATTACACATACATTTCTTGAGCAAAAATACAGAGTACTATTAATAACCGTTGTGAGACTATACAGTTAGTCCTGATAAGCCAAACTAAATTATATTGCTGTTCATAAGCCAAACTATTTGTTCCTGCATATGAGTTCAAAACCTGATTCCAGTAACTAAGGTTAGCTCTTTTCCCCCTCCATCTATAAGGATGCACAAATCTATGTTGGGATATTGTTATCAGTTATTTTTTTATAAATGCCAATATTCTTTCTGTGGTGTCTAATTGAAAGTAGACGACCTAGTACCAGCTGTAGCACTAAGTAAAGTTTGGTAATAGACCTACCAAATAAAATCAAAGAAGCAAGATTACAAAAGTATCAAAGTTTAATTAAGAATACTAATACCCTGCATATATAATTTATGTCTCTCTTTTGTTACTAGTTTTTGGTTTCACTGTCATCTATTCATTTAGCGGTGGCCAATTTACTCTCTTTGTCACAATCGGTTGAAAAGTTAGTCCTTTTAATCGCTACATTTTGTGTACTTCATTTCAAGTCTCTCAATCACTATACAGTTCACACCCCAACCAGAATCAGGATTTAGTAAGTGGCAAGTTTCGGACGATTTTCAGCATACAACCCTAGGCCTTAGATGCTAGCAATCTAGCATGTCAAAAGTTCACAATTAATTTTACAAATTGCCACCTGGAAGAATAAGGAGCTTTCAATATAAAACTAGTGATAACTCTAGCCCCTAAGTGCTTTAAGCAGAAGAGGGAATTCATTTAATAATAATATACATTAGTTTTGTCATGCAACAATGTAACCCAAAGATGGACTCTTGGCATATTGAATGTTCAAGAGCTAAAGCTTTTTGCCAAAAAGAATTTCTTGTTTCCTTGTAAGGTTTAGGAAAGACTCTTAAAAAAAAGGCTAAAGAAAGGAACTCCTTAAAGGCTAGGTAAGGAAAGAAAAAACTTAAAGCACATGGCGACCGCTTTCACTAGACAGTAGGAAATATGAAAAGATTATTTGAAGGGGTAGAATTTTTAAAGTTTTTTATTTTTTCATTAATGTATCAGCTTCATGCTATCAATATAAAGGGAGAAAATAAAGCTTCAACTAGGGTATTATTAAGTCATCTTGTCAAGAAATTGAAGATAGAAAGGTCAGATTATAGGTAGAAAAATTCAACACATTCAAGATTTGCCAGTTTCATAATCAATAATCTCTACTATTTTTCTATATTGAGTTAGCTTTGGAAACATCCACAACAAGATTGTGTATCAAATCCAGGCTAAACCTGGCCTATGGTCACTGTATCCAATGCTCCAACAATTATCTTTAATGATTGATACCTTTAATAAAAAAAATATATACTTTCCAAACATTTCTTTTTCTTTCCTCTTGCCAGGTTAATGAGAACAAACAAACAGTGAACAACTGGATAGCAAAAGGAAGATGTTGTTCCTAGTCTTACTTACCCATATAATGGCTTAAGCAGCTATTATAATTTGATAAACAAAAACCTCAAATTTTTCGTTGACGTTTAGTTGTGATACAGGAACTTACATTTCCAATCTCCTAAATATGTTAGCCACCCTAGGTAATATGGTATGGACAAGAAGATGATATTGACCATGTAAAACCATACTTTTTCAGAACACATAAGTTTATAGTTCTATATATGTTCATGTCGTCATATCTATAAGACATTAAGTAAAACTTAGTTTAGGCTATGTTTATTTCACCTTTTTTTTTTGTTATTCTGATCTGAGCTTATTTTTATGATCTAATCTGAAATAAGTAAATAGTACCTGAAATAAGGTGAACTATACAGGGCCTAAGTCTATGATCTCAAATTCCTTCGGAATATGACAATTGAAAAATGACCAATTAAATTTGTAGCATACTAGGTAGAAAGTCACCAAATGACAGAAAGAGATAACTAGCCTATCTTTCATTCCTTCAAATCAAGTACTATATGGAGAGGTAGACAAGCAAATCTAAGGGCGATATTATATACCTCTGCCCGCTTTTTCCTGGTAGCCACATGCAAAGCTGTATTACCAAATTTGTCTGTGCGCATAACAATGGCTGCATCTGCTTCAAGAAGTGCTCTCACAACATCACAATTATTCCCTTTTACAGCCATATGTAAAGCAGTCTGACCTTTTTTGTCAGTTTTCCTAGCCAATGTTGAATCCTTATCAAGCAATGCTTTTACAATGTCCACATGGCCCTGGCGGACAGCAAAATGAAGCGCATTTTTCCCATTGGATTTACATAAATCCACTAAGCTGCTATCCCTGGACAGAAGCTCATAAGCTACAGCTGTATGTCCTCTTGTAGCTGCAGATATCAGAGGAGTAGCATTTGATGGTCCAATTGTTTTTATTAGCCCAGCATCATGGTCTAACAGCACTTGGACGATTGCTGCAATGAAACAGATGGAATAATTGACCTAGTCAATAGCAAAGCATAAAAACTACTACAAGATAAGCCTAAAAACTTGACTTTATCTGTGCATTATATTTCGTATTTTTCATTTTTCAAAGATAAGTAATTGTAGCGGATTCAACAAACTAGCAGAAGGAAAACCAAACAAGCTTGGTGGAGGTAGTGGGGATTCATCTTGCGACTTTGAGGTCACAAGTTCAAGCCCCGCCATATAATTTGTTTGGGAGTAGGAAATTCACTTATCTTCCCCCTCTACTCTCAAGCGCTGACCTATGTAACTGGTTGGTTGACCTATGAGCGGTGTTAGAAAATACTAGGATCTAGTCATTCTTCAAAACCTAATATTGAAATTTGTGAGTTATAATCCCATAAGATTAAATCCAACTATACATGCAAGCAACATTTCCTTTAAGTCCCTTACAAAAAAATTCACCTTTAAAGATCAAAGGCTACCGATTCCATTTCAATTTTAAATGAACTCGAAATGTCTGAACAGAAGAGCTAGCGGGCCCCATCCCAATGCCTCGCAAAGGCTTTTTCAAGTTTTCCCATCACATGATCAGAAGGGGCTTAAATTTTAATGAGCAAAATAACAACATTAGTGGCTTAAGACTTGAGAGGCCAAACCAATAGAAGTTAGAATTAAATTGCCTTAGACAAGCCTATTAATCAACAACAATAGGTAAACCAAGAGCACTTTTTTTAAGAATTTCACATGCCTACTACTAACAATAAAAGGAAAGAAATAAATTATAGAAGAAGTTTAGCTAATCACCAAGGTGTCCTTGATTAGCAGCAACATGCAAAGGATCAAATCCTATACGATTCTTCTGAGTAAGAGTGTCCTTATTGGCATATTTCAACAGCTCTTTAACCACATCAAGGTGTCCCTTTTCAGCTGCAGAAAAAAGTGCTGTCTCTCCCAACTCATTAACCTCATTCACAACCAAAGCTCGTACCTCAGCAGCCTCCACTTCAAACTCAGCACCGCTTAGATTTTCCCCTATCTGTGAATTTATGTGCCCACCCAATATCTGCTTTACAGCTTCTAAATCACCTCGCTGAGCAGCCAAGTGCAGCTCAGTGTCATTGTGGCGACCAGTTACCTGCTTCACATACTTCTTCTTGCCTGCTTGGTCAATGCGTTTACCAGAATTAGAGAGAACCAAAGCAGGGGCCGACGTAGAGGTTGGCGATGGAGAAGGGGACGGCTCCATTGGTGTTCGGTTAGGTGTGGGTGTGATATGACCCATTTCCAAGTCTTGATCTTCAACTGTATCAGTAAATGTATCAGTAATAATTGATGCATATCTACAACCCATAACAACCTAATAAAAAGAGGTGAATCACATTAAATCGAAACATTAAACAACTCTTGGAATGTTACTTCATGACTTTATTCCCTGGTAATCGATTACTAAAAACAACATGAACACGGTAATAATACCAATTCTGCCGTAAAATGTTCCAAGAAGATCCAGAAGTATGCAATTTACTCACTAACTACAGTTGTTTATCCAATTCATCAATTATTTTCAGTAGAAATGATTTCCAACAATAATATAATCCCCAAGTATCATACAAATTAATCATGTATACTTATAAGCATCCAATTTTCTCTAATTCCGTAAAATTTTCATAAATTTCATCATCAAGCATCTCAAAACGAGCTTAATTTATCCCAATTTTAAAACCAAAGTAATTAATTCAAACCAAACCAAAATTCCCTCAATCATACAATTCTACTGATCTTACATAAGAACTTCACTTAAACCCTAATTCAAAATCAAAATTCTCACTTCAAGATTCACAATCAATAAACACTAATAACAATTAATCAATCAATCTAAAAATAAAAAATAAAAAATAAATTCCAACAAATATAAGAGATGAATAAAATAGTATTACCATGTTGAATCGATGAAGCCATTGAATATAATGAATAATTAGCAAAAAATCATTGGATAAAATGAATAATTATGTCATTTCAATGGAGTGAGGAAAAAAGAGTAAAGTTGAAGCTTTTTTAGAGGAGATAGATAAATGAGTACGATAGATTGAGTAACGACAGAACAAGGAAGCTGCAGAGAAGTAGAGAACCCAACCCCAACAACTGAGAATTTTTTTTTTTTTTTTTTAATTATTACGCAGTACGAGTATTATCTTGATTGAAAAATTAGAAATATATCAAATAAAAAATTCTCTTTGATGGACAAATTTTGTCGATTATTTAGAGTATAAAACAAATTTTGTCAATTCAATTACTCGTGGTATAAAAATTTATATCATCCCTAGGGATGGCAGTAGATCGGATTAAATGGAAGATCCGCCCCATCCCCACCCAAGTGGGGCGGGGATAGAGGGAGGTTTGGCGGGTGATGAGGCGGGGATGGGTATAAAATGTGTACCCGACCCGCCCCGTACCCACCTTATACCCACACCATATTTCTTTTAGAAGAGTTTAGAATTTATGAAACTTAATATCCCTAAAACCCAATAAGCTTCAATAGTGAAAGTTCCAATTTTCTTAACCTAATTTGATATAATTGTTATTAATGTGATACAATAGAGCATCATGGCAATGCGTTTGGGACAATTTTGGGGCGAGTATGAGGTGAGTATGAATATCCAAGTGGGTGATGGGGCGGGGATGGATCCTATATTGTACCCGATGGGGCGGGTATGGATGTAGATATTGTACCCGCCACGGGTGGTGGGGCGGGGATGAGTATAAGATTTTTAGGCGGGTATGGGTCGGGTATGGAGGTACCATCATCCCATCCGACCCGCCCCCATCTCTCTCTACCACTTTCTCACCCCTCCACATCATTTATACCATAGTACAATATACTTTCTCCAAAAATCACCCCACCCGTGGTATAAAAAAAAGTTTGCCACCACACTTTCTCTTTCCTATATGTATTAATTATACAATTAAGTTAAATATAATTTTTATTTTATTATTAGAAATAACTAATTAATGTTTGTAAAGTTAATAAATTAAATAAAATAACCAATTTAGGTACTCTATTATATTGGTCCACTAAGTGTGAGAAATGAATTAAATATAGTATTATGAGATATAGTATTATGTTGGTCCACTAAGTGTGAGAAATGAATTAAATATTGTAAAAACTTTCCAGAAAAAGGAAATGGAGCAAGTATTAAAAACGGCCGGAAAAAGGAAAATGGAGCAAGTGTTTAAAAACTGAGGGAGTATTACTGTAATCCCCCGTATTTTTAAAATAATTTATAAATGGAATTTTATTTCATTTATAATATTTATTTGTATTTTTCCGGAATTTAATTTCAAAAGTTTCAAATTATTTTGGGTGGAAAATTATTTTTATTACAATATGATTTTTATGGACCATCATTCTATAATTTATGTCCAACAAACAAACCTAACCCACTTTACTTACTTAATTGACCCATTAATTTTATGAGGCCCAATCTTACAACTTGCCCTACACCACTCTCTCTCCTATAAATACCCCATACATCCCCAAATTTTTCCCCACATAAAAAGGTTAGTAAATTCTCTTCTCTTTATTTTTTTTCCCCCTTATTTTTCTTTTCCTTTTATTTTTTTTTCTTCTTTCCTCTTTCTTTTTTTTCCTTTCTTTCTTTCCCCTCATTTCTCCTTCACGCTGCTACCACTGCTACTGTTCACCACCGGCGCTGCTCGCCGCCGCCGCCCACCTGACGCCGGCCACCAGTCAGTCGGTGACCGACCAGCTGCCAGCAGCACCACTCGTGGCTGCTCCCTTCACTCTTCCCTTTGATTTTCTTATTTTGCTTAAATTATTAATTTTGGTTTATGTTTTGATTTTATAGTATAAAGTTTATATTTTTAGTATCAAAATCATGTTTTTGATAGCTTAAACCTATAATTTCATATTTTAATTATGTTATAAAATTTCAGATTTTGTGATTATAAAACCTAGGGTTTTAATTTGTTTAAATTGGGATTTTAGGGTTCTTATGACTAATTAAATTGGTGCTTTTGTTTCTATTGCATTTCTAATGATTAATTAAGCATAAAAACATGTTTTAAGAACTTTTAATCAAATTTATATTGTTGGAAATTTGTTTAAGTGTTAATTTGTGATTATTGGTTGTTTTCTAGGAGGTGATTATTCTCTAGGAGACTTCTAAGTGATTCAAAGTGGCACAAAGGATGTTTATACGAGGTACGTACATGTCTACTTCGTTGTAAGTAGTATCATGTTTAGGCACCAAAGAAAAGAACTTAATTTCATGATTAGAGAACACTTGGATGAAAATTGTTTGGTTATACATTTAATTAATTCATGTGCTTATGTTTATGAGACATGTTTTGGTGAATTGATTATGTTTGTATGGAATTATGGATGCAAACATGTTGAATTATATTGGATTAATTGTTTGTATGGAATGTTGACACAAGCATAATTTTATTGGATTGGTTTGTTAACCACATTTGGATTATTAAAGGATTGGAATTAAATGGTTTAAGTGGAATGAATTTATTAATTATTCCACAAGGTTGTTATTTATTTTATTTATTAATCAAGCATGACTTGTTAGTATGTTGAGTAAAAGTGGATTAAGCCGAAATGGCTAGGTGGGTTGACTATGTTCAATAATTTGGATAATTTGGAAGTTTAATGAAATAAAAGGTCAATTTGTGATGTGATCACCATTGTCCTAAATAAGATTAAAAGTAAATTGATGTATGATTTTTATGTATGGTCTATTTGATTGAGTCGACTATTAATTAAAATTGTAATCACGTAAAGTGAAACATGGATGAGCAATAAAACTCTAGAAAGCGTGCACTTCTCTAAAGTATTGACAATTATCGGTTGGGGTACACGGTGGTAGCCCGTGGATTTTCGAGACTTGTTTGATCAACATGTCCTCTTTTCTTTTGGTATTTACATTTGTATTTTATAATGAAAGTTAGATGGGATCCTAGACTAACTTTGTGAGAATGGAGTCGCGCCCATTCTTGCATCGCGCTAAACTTTTATTTTAAATGGTCATTTTGGTCCAAAATGATTTGGTGGATTGGACAACCTCGTCTATTGCTTACTCCAAATAAAATTAATTAAATTAAATGTAAAGAGTCAAGTGTTTGGAATTGAGTAGCAAGTATGTTGAGTCGATTGAATTGTTTAAGTGTGGAGTCTTGATTAATGAATTCAAGTTTTATGTTTATTTACTTTAATTAATGGAAAATTTGTAAATTACCACCCAAAAAGGGGTCCTAATATGAAATTACCACCCATTAAAACTTTTATTTTAAATAACCACCCATTAAATTAAAACAATTTTCAGATTTCCACCTTTTTATGTTTTCCGGTGGAATTTGCGATTATGGGCCCCACCTTATTAACTTTCCTTCTTTTTTTTTCTTTTCTTCGACTAACATTCTGACTGTTACATTAAACTCTAAAAACTTCATCTCTCCTCAATCCCTTCACTTAATTCTTCCAAAATCATTAATTTTTTCCCTCTTTCTTCCTTTAATTCTTTGTCAAATTCTCAACTACCCACTTAGGATTGAATCAAAACCCTAACTCTACTTTTTTCTGCAAATTTAATGCTTTGGTTGTACTTGCATGTATTGTTGATTGCGCAATCTCGAAGTGTTCAGAAGCGTATAGTTGAAGCTTTTGTCAATTGCTAATGTCAATGGCGACTCCTCCATTTCTGCAAAACATAATCCAAAAACAAAAAAAGAAAAAGAACAAGCTTATAACTTCATGCAACTATGAATCATTCAATTCTTTCAATCGCAAAACACAGCACATAAGATACAATTATTCAACATAGTAAACAATCATTCAACAAATTTGGACAACATCAACTCCAATTAGCAGAATTCTAACAAAATCGCACAATTAATTGCAAACAGATAGCCTAATTGCAAAAAACCCCCAATTTAATTGACTCATGAACCCTAATTCCTAAATTTGCGAAAAAAGCCTAAATTATGAAGTAGTGGAATCATACCTTTGATGTAATTGAGTGTACGATCTTTAGTAGATAACTTCTTCTCACAGTAGCAGTTGAAATTTGAGGAATTTTGAATGAAATTTGGGGCAAAATTTGTGACTTGAAGTTGTACAATTTTTAAACGACAGAAATGGGGGAGAGAGAGAGTCAAAATAGTGAAATTAGTCGTTTATAGCCGTTATGTGGGGCTCTCAAACGAAATTTCCACTGGAAATCCAAAAAATGTGGTAATCTGAAAATTGTTCAAATTTAATGGGTGATAATTTAAAATAAATTTTTTAATGGGTGGTAATATCAAAACAGGACCTCTTTTTGGGTGGTAATTTACAAATTTTCCTTAATTAGTTGAGCATGTCAGGTTTTGTGCGTTGTAGCTTGTATGTACTCGGCTTTGCTGATTGCGTGCTTTTGTGTGTTTTCTTTTGGTCATGGCCTTCGCCTTTCAATGACCCTGTGATGATCCAATTATTACACTTGTATTATTGGGGAGCAGTATTGCACAGGTTAGCTTGATGATGTGAAGTTCGGGGATTTGACATAGGCATTGTCAAGGGATTGGTGTGATTGAGAGTATTCGTTCTTTGTGTTGAACTTATTTATGTTTTACTATTTTAATTATGTTTTGGGATTTTGGAATATTGGTTTGGTTTTAATAAGGGTCTTTATGGTTTCAATTTGTAAGCTTTGACTTATTAGTTTTCTAAATTATATTATTTTAAGATGTAAGTTGGATTTCCGCTGCAATACTTTGATAAAACCTTAACGTTTTAACACGTGGCGGTAACATGCCAATGGTTCTCCGCTATTTTTATTTAAAATAAGTGGTTTGGAAATGGGAGAATTATTGGGGTGTTACAATTACCAATATGTAAATATAATAATATTTTTTATAGACCAATACTCTGTATGTAAAAATTATAAAATTTGACATTAGTAAATAAAGTATAAGAGTCTAATAAAATTTCACATGACTATATTTTTTCTTAATTATAAATCACCAAAGTTACTCAAAGTGAAATATATGAATAGTGTATGTTTTAAATAAAAAAAATGTATGAATATTGTAAAAGTCAAAGTGTTGCTAGTAAAAATCGGTGAAAGTGAAATCTTATTTTTTTTTTACTTATTAAAAGAACACACGAATTAAATTAA